TTGCGCCAGCACCAGCTCACACGACCAGCATAACCACCTGTCACCCGGGCCCGCACACAGTGGGGCTCTGTAAATAGGGGCTCCCCTCCTGCATCACCCTGGTCTGCAGACAGCGGACAGTGCACAGCCAGGATTGAAGACTGCTGCGTCTCCCATCTCACCTGCGTGGGGCTGGCCCCAGCCCTCCGCACCCACGTGGCACTCAGTGAACATTGCCTGCACGTATGAAGGCACAAACGAATGTCATATGTTAAGTGCCTGCACATGTCCGGGGTGAAGGGGTGAGCCTGAACGAAGCTGTGCACCTCCCGCGCCCCTGGGGACTGCTGGTCCCTGAACGGTGGTGGCAGGACTGGCAGGAGGTGCCACCTGGGAGGCAGCAAGGGGCAGGCCGATGTGGCCACCAGCCTGGCTGGACAAGGGAGCCTCATTATTTTCGGGGCGGGCGAGGGAAGGTGTCTGGCTGGGAGGACACAAGCCCCCCTGCCCGGGCAGGGTTTGTCAGGGGATGCACACTGGGGCCCTCTGTGTTCCCTGCCCGGAATCCCCCGCAGACTCTGATCCCTGACCATCCTGAGGTCAAGGCCACTTCCCCAGAACTGCAAGGCCCGTGGCTGCGTTCAGGAGCTCCTGTTCTCCCCAGGGCAGTGGGGATGGTTCCAGCCTCCTGGGTCAGCCCCAGGTCCACCACCCCCTTCCCTGGGCCCACACCTCCCATGGGCAGCCCCGTGGTGGACGCTGCAACGTCTCCGTCTTCACGGTCGGGACGGGCACCCAGGAAGAGGTGGGAATGCATCCTACCTGCACAGCCCAACCCTCCCCCGAGATGAGGGTGTCCTGAGTCCCTGCCCTGGGGCTCCAGAAGAGGACAGCCCTGCTCCTGCCCTGCAGGGCTGTGCGACCTGGGAGAGCAGGCCGTCACCTCGGACCCGGAGGTGGGCACCAGGCATGCCTTGGAGGCGTGGGGTGGGGCTTGTCGCAGTCAGGCATCCAGGAGGAGCTCACCTGGGCCTCTGAGCCAGACTGTAGCACTAGGGGCCTGGTCAACAGCGGAAGTAACATTTACGGGGCATCAACTGCATTATCTGGCTTGTGTGAGGGCTTGACTGGCCAGGTGTAGGAGGGGCTGAGCCCTGAAGGGGGAGCAGATCCCTGAGCGGGGAGGCGATCTGATGGGGCCTGCAGAGCCTCCCAGTGTCACAGTCCAGACACCTCCCAGACTCTCTTAGAAGCAAGCACATCCACTCTCTCATCCACCGCAGCGGGTATCAGACCCTCCACTCCCACCTTACAGCCCATCTGGACCCCAGGTGGGGAGCCCCTTAGGGGCAGAATTGAAAATGTGAAGCTGGGGAGAGAGTTTGAGAAAGAAACTTGCAGTGGAAGAATAGGATGGGTGGAGCCTAGGGCTCCAGCGGAGGGCCCACGCTCTCTGTGACCTCGCCCAAGAGACAGACCGTCGCCCCATCAGCCGGACTCCCCCTGTTTACAGAGGGGCTGCATCCTGGTGGGGGGTGGGGGGAGGCGAAGGTGCTGCTCTCAGACAAACCCCAGTTCAAATCCTTCATCAGGTGATGCCTGGGACCTGGATTCCCCACCGAGGAGAGAGGGCAGAGGGGCTGGGGCAGGAAAGCCTGAGGCCTCTGGTCCACATTCAAGGACAGCTGTTGTGATTCCAGCAAGACGGTGGGGGTGGGGGTGCTGGGTGCCATGTGGGGAGACACCTGTTGGTCCTCTGGCTTGCACCCGCCGCCATGCAAGCATGTTGTCTGAGGGAGGTGACAGGTTCCCCACGGTGGTGCCGGATCCGGCCGCTTACCTCCCCAGGGCAGGGTGGGAGCGGTGGCCTTGCCACAGCCCAGGGGCCACGCCAGAACCCAGACAAGGCCTGAAAGAAACCAGGGCAAGCGGGGAGACTGAGGCTAGTGCCCAGCGCAGGTGTCCTGTCCCAAGCCAGGCCGGGGCTGCGGCCGACTGGCAGGCAGGACAGGAGCCCGGGGCTGAGGCTGCGGGTGGAGAGCGGGCAACAGATGGTCACACCCAGCTGCCAGCCCTCGAGAGTGTTTCAGCTTTTTTTTTTTTGATGGGGAGTAATTAGGTTTATTGATTTATTGATTTTAATGGAGGTTCAAGGGATTGAACCCAGGACTTCATGCATGCTAAGCACGCATTCCACCACTGAGCTACACCCTCCCCACCAAGAGCATTTTTAAAAATCAATTTTATTCTTACAGAACTAAACATGCTTTTACCACACAATCTAGCAATCATGCTCCTTCATATTTACCCAAAGAAGTTGAAAATTATGTCCACACAAAACTTGCACACGGGTGTATAGCAGCTGTATTCCTAATTCCCAGAACTTGGAAGCAACCGAGATGCTCTTCCGTAGGTGAATAGATAAATGAGCTGTGGTGGGATATTATTCAGCTACAAGGAGATGCGCTCGCAAGCCATGAAAAGACACGGAGGAGCCGTACATGCACTTTACTAAGTGAAAGAAGCCAGTCTGAAAAGGCTACCAACCGTGTGACTCCAGTTAAACGACAGTCTGGAAAAGACGAGCCTACAGACTGGAACAGATTGGGGGCTGCCGGGGGCTAGCAGGGAGGGAGGGGTGAACCGGCGGAGCCCAGGGGATCTTTAGGGCAGTGAAGCTGCTCTGTGTGACGCTGTAACAATGGATACGGGTCCAGACCTACGGCATGTGCAACACCGGAGTGAGTCCTGGTGTCGCTGTGGACTCTGGGTGGTGGTAACGAGCCAGTGCAGGGTCGTGGCTTGTAACAAACCTCCCACCTGGTGGGGGACATGGGTAACGGGGGAGGCTGCGCCTGTGCTGGGGCAGAGGGTATGTGGGAAGCCACAGCGCCTCCTCATTTTGCTGTGAAACTAACACTGCTGTAATAAATGAGGTTAATTAGCGGGAGGGTGTAGCTCAGTGGTAGAGTGTGTGCGCAGCAGGCACGAGGTCCTGGATCCAACCCTAGTACCTCCATCAGAATTAAATAAGTAAACCCAATTACCTTCCCCAAAAACAAAACAAAACAATTTTAAATAAAGTTAATTAATTTTAAAAAACAACTTCATTGGGGTTTAATTTGTATTAAACAAAATTCACGTTTTCTAAGTGTAAGCTGAGTTTTGCCAAGCAAGCACTCACCTGTAGTCGCCACTGCTGCAGCCAGCGGACACGGCTCTCCGCTGGCCCAGAAGGACTCTGCTGCCGGTGTGTCCGCTCCGACCCTGGGCCCGGGCAGCCTCTGACTGCCTCCGGCTGCTGTGGGCCAGGCGTGCCTTCCTGGGCTCCTGGTGGCGGAGCAGGACTGCGGCCCTCTCCCCTAGCCGGCAGGATGCCTGACGCTCACGGTGTCCTGGTGCTCAGACATCTGCTCCTCCTGACGGGTGCCGGTGGGGTGCTGGTGGGGTGCCGTGGGCGGCCGCAGACTGACAACGGCCGGGCAGGGATGGAGCCAGCGCTGTGAGCACCTCGGGTCCCTGGCTTGTGCGGCAACTGTGAGTGCACCTTTAGGAAACCTAGCGCTTTTGTTCACTACTAACATCGTCCAGTCAGAGCCTCTGCCACGTCCGCTGACCGGAGACGTGAGCACCTGCTGGGGTGACCCTGGCCCAGCCACCATCATAGAGCCAAATTTGCAGATGAAGTCCTGGCTCAGAGAGGTTGGGTCACTGGCCCGAGGTGGCCCAGCTCTCAGGGGGCAGCATCGGGATTCAAGCCTGGCTGAGGTGAGGGGAGTTAGGCTGACTCTGGCCAGTTTGAGGGTCAGCCCAGCTGCAGGGAGGGTCTGGCACTGCTCCCGCGTCTGCCCTCCCCAGGGGTCACATGTGCACCAGCCACACGACAAGAACACACCGAACACGTAAGCACACAAGCCAAGGGGTGAGCGCACACAGACACACGTGTGCACATGCAGTCCCCGCACACCAGGTGTGCCCACATTCACCACGTCCGCTCCCTCAGGCAGTGCCTGCACGGAGGCCTGCAGCGCCAGACATCGCTCACAAAGGGCCCAGCCGGAAGGCATCCACAAAGCTCCAGGGCCTGGCTGACCACTACTCCCCTGAGAGGCAGGGCCGGCCAGCAGTGGCCGGTAGGGGTCTCACCAGGGCTGCTGGCCTGGAGCCCGGGTCCTCCCTGCTGAGACCAGAGCACTCCCTGGGGTTCACTCGGGTGACCTTGGGCAGAGCTCCTGGGCAGAGCTGAGGATGGGGAGCTTGAGGGGGGTCAGGGCGCGGGGCTGGGGGCCAGTCGGGGCAGGGGGGCACAGGCTGGGGGCTTGTGGAGGGAGAGGAGGAGGGCTGGGAGACAGGGCATGCAGGGGGCAGGTGTGGGATGCCCACAGCCCTCAGAGGCCAGCTCCTTTCTGCGTAAGCGAGCCACAGTGTTGCTGTGCAGAGAACAAACACGGAAAACCACAATGCCTGGCTCCTCCCCTGCCCTCGACAGCGCCCCCTGGGCCCGGCCTGCCCTGCGACCCCGGGAGGCCCACCCACCTGCCTGCTCTCCTCGGGGAGGAGGGGGCAGTGCTGGGCAGGGGCCCCCAGACCCATGGGGCCACTTCCAACCTCACTTCTGGAGTTCCCCCTCCTGAGCTCTGATGGGGACAAGCCTGTGCTCATTGTCCCCAATTTGCAGACAAGGAAACTGAGGCCAGAAAGGTCAGCTGCAGCGAGCCAGGGTGAGAGGCAGGCCACACTCCAGGCCGAGGAGCCCTGCCGCCCTCCCCTGCCCCAGAGTGGCGACCAGACCAGCGAACGTGCCCCCTCCCGCCCGCCCCACGCGCCCCCACTGCCCTGCCCCTCATGTCCGTGTCTGAGCCTGGATTCTCCTTGTTAACTGGCCGCTCCGGCCAGAGGCACAGGGTAATTACAGGGAAACAATCCCATCCCTATGAGGGCTCAGACCCGACCCGTTTTGCCACTTTCTGTGCGATGGCAGAACCCGTTGGGTGGCTTTGGGCACTCTCTGCCTCCTTTCTGCTCCTGGTCGGGGAATCGAAAACCTGTCAAGCGGGTTTGGCCAAAATTATGTCTTGTTCCCAAGCAAGTTCACAGGGCTGGCTTCTATCTCTCAGGCGGGAGCCTTCCGGATTCAGCGGAGGTCCCCGGAGGTCGATGAGGACCAGGGGCCAGGTGAGTACCTGGGGGACCCCTGGCCGGGCCAGCAGCTGCAGCAGTCAGGGTGGAGGCGAGGGTGGGAGCTGGGGTCCCCGTGGGGGTGCTCGCAGCGGAGGTGGAGGCAGGAGGCCCAGCCCCTGTTCGCTGGGCAGGAGGCGGGGCTGGCGGCGGGGCTGGCACGGGGGCACAGCCACCTGCTCTGGGGCATCTGGTCCGGGGGCCGAGTGGGGGCTTCTTGGGCTGAGGGGCTTGTACAGAGCTGAGGCTGAGTCTGGCACAGCTGTGCCAGGAAGTCCCTATGGTCTAGGGAGGGTCTGGGGGCACCAGAAATGGGCTGGTGGCCAGACACTTCATCCTGCCCCCCTGCCTAGATCCTCACGGGGCAAAGGGGGTGCAGCCATGGGAGGGAGGGGCTGTACATAGCGCAGCTGGCCACAGCTCAGTGCTGAGCCCCGTGGAACACTCAGCTGCCCTCGACTCGGTGTCGCTGGGGAGGCAGTGACAGATGGCTCCTGGGAGACCCGGGTTCTGCTCAGCCTTCCCCCTACCCTGCCAGGCCTCAGGGAGGCAGCCAGTGAAGGCCCGGAGGGCACAGGGCAGGGATGGGGGCCCGGCCCATCCCTAAGGAGTCAGGTTGCAGGGACCGCTGTTACTTGAGCCACCAAGCGACACCTCAGCCTGTGGAACTGAGCAAGCGCGCACCTGCCTTGTTCCTCTGTGCATGTGTGCACGCGCACAGGCGTGTACAGCTTTCCCCGCGCCCCTGCTGAGTTATGTGCACGTCGGGGGAGGTGGCTGAGGGTGGCAGCCCCGTGCGCGGCATCTCTGTGGGGATGTGCACTCTCGTGTGTTAGGATGGTGTTAGGATACCGTTGTGTCTGCATGGGTGAGTGTGGGCGTCACACGTGTGTGCACATGTGTCATGAGTCAATGTGTTAGAAATCGTCCTGGCAGTCCCTCTCTGGATGGGACCTGCCACCTAAACTGGCCCAGGAAGTCACTAGGAGACTGCACCGTGGACAGGTGCCATCACTCTGAGCCTCAGATCCCTCATCTGTAACATGGGGGCTGCCATGGCCACTTGGTGTGCGAGGTGTGCCAGTGCTGTTGGAGCCTGAGCCTCTGCCTGACCTTGGGGTGCAGGGCGTTCCTGTCCTCCTGCGAAGGGCCTCTGTGGCAATGGGACTTGGACTTGTCCAAGAGGAGGGTCTCTGGAGCACAGCACTGCTAGCCTCCTGGGGGCTGCCTGTGAGGGAGGTGCTGGGGGGGCAGCCGGCGGGGGCTGCAGGGTCTGCGTCTGAAGTTGACTGCCACTCGCCGGGCTCAGAGCTGAGTGCGTGTCGCCCGGACACGCCTTGCCTAGACCTGTGTCACTAGAACGTAGGTCACCTGGACGCACGTTGCTCAGTAGGAGGCTCACGACAACCTGATACAAGGGGACAGTGCTGCCCCTTAGCTGAGGAGACTGGCTCAGAGAGGTAGGGCACTTGTCCAAGACACGCTGAGGGAGAAGGCAGGACGGGACCCTCTGCCCAGGCTGACCCTGTGCCCAGTGTGAGTGGCAGATGGGCAGAGTCATTGGCATGGCTGACCCACCTGCCCTTCCCTCCCACCTGCTCCTTCCAGGGGTCTCAGCCCCAGTAGAGACCTTCCAGCCTGGGCATAGAGAGAAAAGGCCAGAGTATCCCTGGGCCGAACTAGGGGCCCAAAGGAGCAGAACTCAGGCCTCTGCCCGCCCCCCACCCCAGCAGGTGACTCAGGCCACCTTCTCCTGTGTACAGGCCCCCCAGGCCCAGATGCAGCAGCCCAGACCCCCACCCTCATCCCAGCATCACCACAGCCTCCTCCTGGCCCTGGTGTCCGTGCCTGGAAGCGCCCGGGCCTAGGGGAGAGTCCACCTGCCTTGAAACCCCTGAGCCCCCAGCCCCTCAACGCAGCCCCAGCACACCCAGCAAACACAAAGCAGGTCTGCAGAGGGGGCTGGCCGGCTGACCCCCAGCAGGAGACCGCACGCACTTTCACAGCCTGGGTTCTTCCCACCCACGGCCACCACATTCCTCCCCAAAGCACAAGAGCTTGCAGGCTCTGCCTCGGGTGGGGATCTGGCTCCCTCCGTCTCCCACCGCTTCCTGGGACCCTCCGCACACTCCGAGGGTGGAGGCTGGGACTGGAGGCTGCCCCAGGAGACTGATTCTGTCCACTCTGCCTCGGCCAAATGCACTTCTGTCACCTGCCCGCCCAGGGAAGTCACACCATCCCCATAGCACCGTTCCTGAGAGGCTGGATGGCCCTGGTCCTCCCAGCAGGATGCACTCGTTCCAGCTCTGTCTCCAGCCACCAGCATATCTGCTCAGTGTGCAGAGACCTGAAAGGAACAGCCAGGCGGGGCCTTTGGGCGGTTTAGGACAGAGAGAGGAGCATAGGGCATGGGGGACAGAGGAGGGTGTCCCTGGGCCCCCCCAACCCCCCCAACCCCTCAGCGATATCCTCAGGGATGAGGCCGGCCTCCCTCAGGCCCCTCTCAGGCGCTGGCCCAGCCCGTGGCCCCGGGCAGGCACAGGCCCTGCGGGGGAAGGGCTGCCTGTCAGGCGGGTCTGGGTGGAATTTCAGGAGCAGCTGCTCAGCCCTGCCCTGGCCACCCTCCCCCGGCCTGCCAGGGGCCTAAAGCACGGAGGCCCTGCTCCCAGCCTTACCTCCCAGGAGCCCTGGTGCACGATAAAGATCAGCAGGGCGGTGCAGCAGGGCGGCCGGGGAGCATGTCCCTGGTCCCCACCGGGCGAGGGTGCAGCAGCCTCCATCTTGGAGTCAGTTCAAACCCCAACTCACTCCCACTTCCCACTGGACGGCCGAGGAGCGCGAGTTGATCTCTGGGCGTCAATTTCCCCGTCTGGAAAGTGGGCTCTGTGCAGTGTGGTCGGAGTCAGAAGGGCTCCGGAAGCGGGGCCGGGATTATCACGTCCACCCCGTTGGAGCCCTGGTCTCCCCCAAGCCTCTGGAATTCAGCATCCTGTCCCCTAACCTCCAAGGGCATCCCTCATTAGGTGAGCTCTGGCCCCCCAGCCTTGCGATGGAGACCCACCCAAGCTTCCCTCATTCCCAGAGCCCTCACCGCACCCCCGCCCTGACATGGGGCTGGCAAGCAGGCACCCCCATCCCCCGGCCATTGCACAGGAGTGCCCTGGAGGCCAGGCGGGTCTGAAATGAGTTTGAGGAGCCCCACCTTCCTTCCTCCAGCACGCCCCAGTTGGCCCTGCTCAGCCGGGCCCCACAGCCACCGCGGGACACAGGACTGTGCTCTGTCTTCCAGCTGGACCCAGCCTCGCATCTGAAAGTTGAGGCTTCTCCAATGCTCTGACACCTGACCCGGGGTTCAAAGACCAGGCTGAGAGCCAGCCTCCACTGTCAAGTCTCCCCTCGGGCAGCTCCAGGGCCGTGCTCCCTGGCGCCTGGCTCCACTTGGGGCTGCTCCCTTCAGTTAGTGATGCCCCCCTGCCCACCCCTCAGAGCGCCCACCGACCGTACATCTGAGAGCCCAGAGTGGTTGTGCTCCATGCGTGAATCCTGCAGGCAGCTGGCTTTTGGTTCTGACTCCCCCTGTGCAGTGTCACCCACGGGCAGTGTCATCGTTCCACCGCAGGATGTACGCCAGGAGACACTTAAGGGTGTCCAGCTGGGGGGCCTGTTGCTGCGAGCCCTCCTGTGCTGGTCTTCAGGGCAAACTTTGAAATGCAACTGAGACCACACTCTGTCTCCTCTGCGCCTTGGGGAGGACTCTGGCATGGCCTGGGGCAGTGGGACTACAAAGGGCTCTGAGCAGAGGTTTCCAGGGCTTGTGCAGCGTGCATCCTGGGGGGCAAGGTGGAGGCAGGGAGGCCACTGCAGTGGCCCAGGCCACCATCCAGTGGTGGCTTGGCCCTGGCCAGGCACAGTGAAGGGGGAAGGGTGAGATTCTGGGCTTACGTAGAAGGCAGCTGCCGCTGACCGATCAGCATGGGGTTCCAGGAGCCCAGCTGCTCATTTGCAGGGTCCAGCACATCCCAGAGCTCCTTGGGTGGCAAACAAGGGGGGATCAGGGGGCCGCCTCACCCTGTCCTGGAGGTGAGACCCAAAGGGGAAGACAAGGGGCCTTGGACCCGTGGGGGCCAGGGTTGGACCCTCTCTGTTCTTTGCAGGACTTGGGAGCTAAACTGACACCCAGAGCACGGGTCCCCTTCCTCGTACAGCAGCGCTAGGGTTGGGGCAGGCAGTCCCTGGGGTGGGCATGGGACAGGGGAGTGGGGCTGGTACAGCCTCGAGAAATGCAGGCCGGTGTCAGAATCAACATCCACGGTCACTCGGATGCGAGACGGGCACAGAGAGAAGGCGCCCGGGGCCTCAGCACCCAACACACATGCAGCGCACATGCACCATGTGCAGGGCACGTGCACACAGGGGAAAGGGCAGCTCAGATCGGCCAGAGCGCGCCGCAGTCACACAGCCGGCAAGGTTTGTCCAGCTCCCAGCCTGGGCTCTCAGCCCCTCACCCCTGAGCTTTAGCAAAAACCTCATGGAAGTGGAACAGACAGGAAAAAAGGCCCAGGCCACGAGGGGTGGCCGGGTGGGCTTCCGCCAGCGCAGAGCCCACAGTCACCAGCTCATGGAGGGGAAGCACCTGGCCAGCCCCACAGGGTCGTCACGCTGCTGTGGGCACCCATGCCCCACTGAGTGGTTTCTGCTGGGCGACGTGCTGTGGCCGGCAGACCCGCCGGCTGTGGGTGGGCCTGGTCGTCCAGTCCGCAGCCCCCATCGACATGCAGCACATCCCGCCGTGGCCGGGCACCAAGCTGGAGCTGGGGCTTTAGGCAACTGCCTTGTGGTGAGGACTGGATTGGGGGTTGAGATTCAGTGAGAATGTCCCACCCCTCTACGTGCCCCCTCAGGTGTGGACATGACCCATTGGGGTGGCAGGGGGTGGCCCACAGGACGGGACAGCACTCACCTGCTCTCTGGGCAGTGGCCCCTGCACTCACAGGCCCTTCCTGAGCCCATGTGACCATCTCCCCTCTTCCTGCTCCACAGGCTGGAAGCAGAGGGGCAGTAGAGGCTGAGCGGCCGTCCCTGAAGCTTGAGCACAGAGGGGCCCGGGCCAGGGCTGTGGGGAACCATGGAGAGCTTCACGGAGTCACTGAACAGGCTGAAAGATATCCACGAGAATGAGGTCATGGGTGAGCGCCGTGGGGGCACGGCGAGCCCGCACCCGGACAGCGGCTCCCGGACAGCAGGCTGAGGCTCAGACCTGGCCGGGGGCTCCGGCACCTTGCCTCCAATTCTTTCTGGCCAAACCTGGGGACCTTGCCTTCCAGGCCTGGGGGGGAGTCCTGGCCCAGAGCCCAGAGCTGCAAAGTGGCCAGGCACCCGGCCTCAGACCAGCACCCCCGGGTGTGGCCCTGGAGGGGTGGTCCCTGAATGGTCAGCTCGCATCAGGGCAAAACTAAGCCAGCCCAGATGCAAAGAGCTGAGAAGCTCAGGCCAAGACGGGCCCTCCCGCGGGGTGTGGGCCTCCGCGTCCCCCAGAAGGGAAGTGGCCCACTCGCAGGAGTGGGCTTTCATGGCTCTGGAGGCCTGTCTGGAGTGTTCCGGGGGGTTAAGCTGCAATCTCTCTGCTTCCCTCCAGGACACCCAGGCTGAGGTCTGCCCCGGCCTGCACGTCTGTCCAATCCCACACCAGCAACAGGGCTGCAGCCACCCCAGCCCCCTTGCGCCAGTGCCGCAGCCAGAATTTTCTGAGAGCTCTCAAACACACCCCTGAAGGCCCAAAGGACCTGGGTCACCTCCCCAGAGACCCAGAGGGGTGGGGCCTGCTTGGGCTAGCCTAGGGCCACAGCAGACACAATGAGGTGGGAAGGAAGGGGTCTGCTGGGGTCTCCCCAAGGGCCCATTTTATTTCAACCCTGAAGGCACCCCCCAGAAACACCCCTCCCAGGACCTGGCCAGGTAACTGGTCACTGCCAGCATCAGGGTTCCTCCCAGTCTCCAGACAGACACCAGAGCCAGAGACCCCAGGGAGGGCAGCATGGCTGGGCCTGACCCCCTGGCCCTTTCCTTGGTCCTCCAGGCCTGCAGAGCAAGCTTCTGGAGCTGAACTCAGAGAGGTGCCGGTGAGTGAGGACGGGGCCCTGGCCCAGCGGGAACCAGGTGGGTAGGGAGATGGGGAGACGACCCAGCACTCACTGCCCCCCGCAGCCCCAGGGCACCAGCACGGCCACCATCCCGTGATGCAGAAGGGGAAACCGAGGTTCGGGGCAGGGGTGGTGGAGAGTCACTGGTCCAAGGTTGTGCCTCTAATAGCTGGTGGAGGTGGGACTGGAACCTCCAAACCCACCAGAGCGAGCAGGGGCCCTCCAGGGGCTGGGGGAGCCTCGTCCACACGGGGCACCTCCAGTACCAATAATTACCACTAGGAACGTTCCTCAAGTGTCCTGGAGACTCGCAGGGCATGGTCCATCTCATGTCCCTGTTTCACAGACGAGGCTGCAGTCGTTTTTTAGCTCTGCAAGTGGCACGTGGATGAGACAGAGTCCCCAAGGTGCCCCCGGATTCCATGCTGGGTTAAGCATTGCCCTTGTAAGGCCTCACTTCTCAAGGAGGTCCTGCACTGGGGCCCAACCCAGGACTGACGCCTGTGGCGGTGGGAGAGGCTGGAGGGGCAAGGGCAGCATGGGGCTCCGCGGGCAGAGCAGAACCCCGTCCTCGGGTCGTCCCCCCACAGGGACGCCCAGAGGGTGGAGGAGCTCTGCGCCAAGAACCATCAGCTCAGGGAGCAGCAGAAGGCCCTGAAGGAGAACCTGCGGGTGCTGGAGAACAGGTCGGGCCGGGGCGGCCAACGGCCTTGCTCGTGGGGGTTGCAGGGGCCGGAGGGACAGCGAGGACAGGGAGAAGTCACTCTGAGGAGGGAGCCTGAGTTTGAGAGGCTCTGGGGGGAACTACTCCAGGCAGGCTCCGCCGCGGGACTTCTCAGATTAAGCCAATTGCATTTTTAAGGTTCCTTCCCAAATTCAAGGGTATGTGGCACGCTTAGCCCGCGGGGTAGGGGATGGGGCAGGGCTTCCACGGACCAGCGCCTGGGGAAGGCAGGGCATGTCCTGGGAGCAGGGTGGTGAGGGTCCCAGCCCCTCGGTGGGCCTCAGTCTCCCTCCTCCTAACAGTCTCTTGCCCACTCGCCCCTGCAGGCTGCGGGCTGGCCTGTGCGACCGCTGCATGGTCACCCAGGAGCTGGCCAGGAAGAAGCAGCAGGAGTTCGAGAACTCCCTCCTCCAGAACCTGCAGCACGTCTTCCTCCTCAGTGAGTCCCGCCCTGGGGTGTCCTCTCCTGCAGGGGCCAGTGACCCCCAGGGCCTGCTCAGCCAGACAGGGGTCTCCAGGAAAGGGGAGGAGGCGATCCTAGCCCGCGCGTCAGGAGGACAGCCCCACCCCAACTCACAAACGGTGCCAAGCCCCCCGCTGGCCCCACGTGCCCTCCACTCATCAGTCACCCAAGCCAGGGCGTCCCTGCCTCTCAGGGCCTCAGCTCCCCACTTCCTGTGATGAGGAGGGCCCCACAGAGCCCTGAGGTCCCACCGGTCCTGCCAGTGAGGACGAGCCCCTTTCCCTTGGTAGGGGGGCTCCCAGAGACAAGGGGCCCCCTGTCACTGTCCACAGCCTCCAGGCTGGTTCTGTTTACTTAACATTCATCCACGCACCCACTCAGGCAGCAAGCATCTATGGGGCACCTGCTGTATGCCAGGCCCTGAGCCCAGGGCTGGAGTCACAGCTGAGGATAGGAAAGGAGGGGGCCCCAGGTGCGGTGGGGACCCCCCGCCCTGCTTACCCTCCCGCAGTCCTTCCTAATCAGTGCCTCCCCACAGCCAACGAGCTGACCCGGCTGCAGGAGGAAAACGACACCTTGAAGGAGGAGGTGAAGCAGCTGCGGGGTCCAGGGTGAGTGGGGGGCCAAGGCCCGACACCCTCAGTCTCCAACACCCCACTCGCAGCAGGCACCCGGCATGTCCACGGGGCGCCGGGCACGCAGCGCGATGGGAGGGGCAGAGCCCCTGCAGGACCTGCGCCCAGGGCTGGGGAGGAGACTCCCATAGGCCATCACCCTGAGCCGGCTTGGGACCTCCCTAGTGCACAGGACAGTGCCCGAGTAAATGGACACCCTAGAGACGGAGCTGGGTGCCCAGCTCCCACGGCAGCCCTGTCACTTGGGCTGCACTGGGACATCAGGACATCGGCCCCTCTTGGCCCCACAGTGGGGGCCGATGACGGTGCTCTTTCCTGGTCCCCTGGGTCTCCCGCTCCAGCCGCTTGGCCCCCAGAGGGTGCCCTGGCCTCTCTGATCATCTGTGGGGGCACCACCCTCCCTCACCTGCTCCATCTTTGCCTTCCCTCTGGAGACAGGCCCAAGCCCCTGTTCAGGGAGGGCACCTCAGACTCCCCATCCCCCCCTGCTGCTCCCCTCCCTGGGCGCCGGGAAGGCTGTCACTGAGAAGCCACCGGGAAGCCACGAGGAGACAGAGGACGACCATGCAGGTGCGGGTTCACAGGAAGAGGGTGCTACGGGGGACGGGGGAGGCCAGGAGGCTGGGCACCCCAGGACCAAGGAGCCCTCTAGCAGAGGTTGAGCTGGCCCCTCTGAGCACCTCCCTGGTGTCCTGCCCTCTGCTTCTCCCCTCACAGAAAGGCCGGCGGGGTACAGGGCGTCTCCAGTGGCCAAAATCTCTCCAGGTGCCAACCTGCCAGCGCCACGGGCCCCGGACATGGTAAGGGCGAGGGACCCTGAGCCCACTCCTCCCCTCTGGGCACCCTGCTGTGTGCCAGGCCCCATGTACCACCCCACGTGGCATGTGCCTCCTCCATGCAAGGCAGGGACCCCTGAGCTCCATTTGACGTGGGTGGAGGCAAGGCTCAGAGCGGGTGGGTGACTTGCCCAAGGTCACACAGAGAGCAAGGGCAGAGGGCAGCAGCCAGCCCCACCCAGGCTGACCTGTCCACCCTGTGCAGAGCCCCCAGCGCATCTCCAACCAGCTGCACGGGACCATCGCCGTGGTGCGGCCGGGATCCCGGGCCTGCTCCGTTGACCGGGGCTCCACCAACGGGACACCCCCACTGCCACTGACCAGGAGCAGCCCACCCAGCCCACCCTGCGGGCACAGCCTCTCCCTGGACAGGTGAGGCCCCGCCCACCACCACCACCACCACCACCACCAGGGGCGGCCTCAGCTGCTCAGTCTCCAACACTGGTCCCACCTTTCGGGAAGGGGCCGGCAGCCCAGGGAGTCCCTCCAGTCGTCCCTCCAGGAGCCTCCACTCTTCCTCGGCTTGGCTTTCCCAGGGAGCCTGCCCAGAGCAAAGTTCCCACATAGACATCCCCGAATGGCCAGTGAGGGGTGGGGGGACGTCGGGGGAGGAGATGGGGCCTTACCCCTGGGAATCCCTCTCAGAAGGGCCCACACAAAGCCTCTTGTTGTGGTCTGAGACCCTTCTCAGTGTCTGAGAGGAGAGTGTGGGTGGGCTGGTGGCAGGTGCACAGGTAGGCAGGTGCTCCAGGTGACTGGGCGGGCAGCTGATGCCCAGAACGGGGAGAGGCTCCGAGTCCAGGTCCCTCCTCAGAGCCCCAGGCTCCAGGTCAGCTCTGGCCAGGCCCACAATAGCCAGGAGCCCAGGACCCCACCCCTCCCCACGACCTGTATGTGACCAGGGCTGCTCACCTCGCCTCCCTGGGCCCTGGTCTTCCCCGCCCGGTGAGGGCTGACTGTGGCCCCTGGGCCTCTCCTCGCTGCAGCTTCCTGCAAGCCCCTCGGCCCTCTGCCCAGACCCGTGAGTCCTTGCAGCGCCCCCTCCAGGCTGACCGCCTCTGCCTCCTGAGCCGCCGCCTGTCCCTGCACCTCCGGAGCCCCCGACAGCAGCCCCCGGGATCCCACCGCAGCCCCCTGCGGCCCCATGCCCCAGGGCCTGAAGGCTGGGGAGCGGAGGCCTGGGAGGAGCCCTGCCGGGCCTGGCTGGGCCTGGCCCGGCGCCCTGGTGGCATGCGAGACCCGCGGCTGGACGGTGCACTGCGCCTGCTCTCGCCAGCAGCTGCGGGCACGGGGGAACCCCC